CCCCTCTGGGATGCAGGGGGATGCTTACACCAGGAGGAACTTGGCACCAGCCTCTCCTCGGCACTCGTAGTCGCTCGGGTCCTCCCGCTTGGAAAGCCCGTAGGCCCCCAGGGCCATTCCCGTCACGTTGCAGGCGAGGATGAGGAGGATGATGGAGCACAGCACCGTGCCAGCGATCCACCTGGGGGGCAGAGCAGCAGGGCACGGCCTCGAGAGGGCATCCTGTCTGTTTGATCCTGAGAACCAGCTGAGGAACAGCTTTGTACCACAAGATCACTATGTAAAGGAGAGCATCGCTTTGGAAAAGGAAGGGCAGCACTCAAAGTGCTTGACCAACAACGACTTCAAAGTCTCTAAATCCATTAACCTGATGTTACCACAGCTCAGTTTAGCAGCACACTGAGACTAACATTCCTCAAAGTTGCTTCAAGTTGCTGCAGTTTGTGTTTGTGTTTGTGTCTCGTCTGGCTTAGACGGAGCTCATTTCCCCACAGCAGCCCTCACATACGGGGCTGGGGCACCAGCTGGGGCTCAGCAGGGCTCAGCACCCACCCCTGCTGCACCCCCTGCCCCCCTCCCTGCTCCCCAGAGTCACCTGTAGTGCTCGAAACGCTCCACCTCCCGCAGGTAGGGCCGGCTCCGCTCCTCCGCCGTCACCAGGGCTTCGCTGGCGGGCCGGGTGTAGTCGGGGAGGGGGAAGCTGTCAGCGATGGACTGCACCTTCTGTGCTGTGTGGGACAGCTCCTCCCGCAGATCTGCGGGGCCAAGGCTATGCTGGAGGCGTGGATGGTCTACTCTTCCCATCCTGTGCCCTCCCCAAATCAGGGTTTGCCCCTTGGAGAGTGTCCCTGGGTGCACCAGCTCACTCACCCTGGATGACCTGTGCCATCCTCTCCACGGCCAGCTCCGGGATGGAGTTGAAGGTGCCATTACCCTGCAAGGAAAGAGGGGGTGCTGAGCTGGAGCTGCCTGTGGGTGCTGGACCCCCCTGCTCCACCCCGATCCCCCCCAAACCTGGCGAATCATCTCAGCAAAGTCGCTTCGGGGCAGCCCGGCCATGGCCTTCAAAACCTTCTCCACTGATGGCACCTTGGGGTGGGATAATCACAGAATTACAGAGGTTGGAAAAGACCTCTGAGATCATTTGAGGCCAACCTGTGACCCAACCCCACCTTGTCACCCAGCCCATGGCACTGATGCCACATCCAGGCTCTGCTCAAACCCCTCCAGGGATGGAGAATCCACCCCCTCCCTGGGCAGCCCCTTCCAGTGGCTGATCCCTCTCTCTGGGAAGAACTTCCCAATGTCCATCCTAAACCTGCCCTGGGGCAGCTCAAGG